AGAGGTTAGACCAAAGCATCAAAATTATAGCGAACCCCATTATGTCTTTCCAAGGCATCTAACCTGTAAAGGAATATTGGATTAAGGAACAAAAAAAGATACACAATGTCTGTACCAATTGTATTTATTGCTAGAAACTTCAAACTTTTAAAAAAGTATTTGAAAAGTAGATAACATAGAAAAAGACATCCATAAAGGTAGGAAGCAATCTCATCACTTACAAAGTGCTGCAAATCTGATAAATTTATGTTGCTGATAATAACTCTGAAGTACTCTTGGATGAATAGATATGAATCCTTGAAATACCTCAAGTATGACCAAAAAGGACATCTAAACGGATATAAAAAACACCCCAAAAGAAATTCAGCTTTTGGTAAATGGGTCATTAAGTGAAGTGAACTTTTAAGCAAACAAGTTTTCCGTGAATTGGTTTTAAGAGCTCTGGCTTTGGGCCAGCCAATGGCGTGGTGCTTTAGGTGCTGGATCTCAGATGGCCAACTGTGCAGTTCAAGTCTCAGAACCGGTGCTTGAAAACTTGCCAGGAGTGTGTCCATGTGTGCCCCAAATCCCTAGAGGGAGAAATGAAGGAGAAGGGGCTGCAGTGTGACCACCCACAATGGTGCTTTCTCTCTCTCCAGTGAGTGCACACGCCTTCTGGTAAATAAAAAAAGATAGAAAGAGCTCTAGCTTTAAGTGAACTACTTCCAAACTGATTAGAACCCAATAAATGGATTTTTCCTCCCTTCAGCACCCCCTCAAACCCCAGAGACTTGGGGTTCCACTGGGTGTAATCCGGGATCCCTCTGAGCACTGACAAGTCTGTGGTGGTGAGCTACTGCTAAGGAGCCAAGTGTGAGAGTAACCTGAGAAGAGAACGAGTGTGCATGCATGTGTGTGTGCACCCGCGTGCACATATACCATATGCTGTAGTGCTCAGTACACCTGATCCTGGGAGCAGTTCTAGCCTAAAGCTTCCTAGACATCTCACCCAGCAAGTCCCATACTCACAACGACCTGCTCATACCTCCCCCAGCTGAGAATGGAACACTTGTTCGCTTAAAGTTCGATTCTTTTAATGGTCAATTTGCCAAAAGCACAAGTCCTTTTTGAGTGTTTTTATACCTATTAGGTGTCCTGTTCTTCTTTGTCATGCGTTAGGCATGACAAAAGAAGTACAGGCACCCACGTAGCCTCCCCAGGCCCATGTGAGTCCCTGAGAAACAGGCAACACGGGCACCAGGCCCACCCAGAGCTGGTCCCCATTCTCAGCAAGAAGAGCAGGAGCTAACTCATTAGTAAAGTCCAGGTTTTCCACCCCTTGATCCAGGGATAAGATACTGTGGTGAGCGCTTGGCAGACCCCACCTCCGACGCCATGTGTGAGGTACAAGAATGAGGAGTTCCTGCTACTCCTCTCCTGCAATCCAGAGCCAGGACATTGCTTGACCTATCCACAAACATGTGGTGGAGACAGAGACCAGAATCAGACCAGAAAGTTCTAGACGCCGCCTGTGTATGCCTGAGCAGATCTGCGGCACAGGCCACATGTCACCGGCCCTGGCAACGAGAAGCTCCTCCTCCACAATCCATTTGGAATGTTATGATCTTTGGGTCTCTGGCTCTTGGGGGCCTCCCAAGGACTCTTCAGTCAGCCGCAGAGTGCACTCCTTGCCTCGGCTGGCCTCAGAGGGGCCCACTGGCCAGAGGTTTTCGACAGTGGTGATGGCAGCAGTGGTGGCTACAGCTCAGATGTAGTTGGCAGGGGGCTGTCGAGCACTGAGCCGCTGCATGTGACAGCCATGGCAGAGCAAGTGCCCATCCAGTGGGAAACAGCAGCAGCCTTCCTCGTCACTCAGCTGCATCCGGCAGTCCTAGGGAAGAAGCCACCTAGTTCACCTCAGGCCAAGCACCCTGGACACTGAGGACATTATGGGAGTCTGCCCTGCTCAACGCCAGACTCCTAATGACTGGAAGAAAGGGGGAGGGGAGGGAGGGGTGGAGGAAAGCTTGAGGCAATACCTCAGCTGGACACCAGGTGTCGCTGCTGCAGCAGAAATAATGAGACAAGCCCCCCATTTCCAGCAGTTACCAGGAGTCCCTATCTCTCCGTCATGACTCTTGGGAGGCCAGATTCTGACTGAGTACTGAATGACCAGGACCAGAGAAGCGAGCTGGGTCACAACACCTTCCTGGTTTTCCATGCCCTGCCTCCCAGACAGCTGGTTGTTCTGGGACTTGACTCCTCCCTTCCCCAACTCTTAACCCGTCCAGCAGCCAACACTCACCTCACAGTGGTAGCACTCAAAGTGGTAATCTCGGTCCATGGATATCACCCTCACGATGTCCTCACAGCCCTGAAACGTGCACACCCACGGGGATGAGAGGAGCAAACAATGTCCCCAACTCAAAGGCTCCCAACCACTCCACCACCCCAATGGGAAGACCATACAAAGACCCTCAGGGCCTTGCTTTTGAGATCCTTCACAAACCCCACCTTACCTGTCCCTTGCTTGGCACTGCCCCCAAGGGCACGCCCCCTCTGTAAGGGCCTTGCCTAGCTCTACCTACCTCTCAGCTGTGGGGAAACAGGGGAGGGCAAGGGGCAGGCAGCTTCCATAAAGTAGGCTGGAGGACGAGGCTCCACCAGGGTCTGGCGCCTTGTCAGTTTTTGGCTTCTGCTCTGAGCCATGGGCTCAGCACATCGGCTTACATAATTTATTTCTGACCCCTTCCTACCTGCCTTGAGGATTTACCCCACCTTTTCCAGCCCTCTTATCTAGTATCTAGTGACCTTGACCTTAAAGAAAGTCTCCTGGACTAGGATGGAAGAGATGGGAGCCTCAGTCCAGGGAGGCTGTCAAACATGTCCAGGCCCGGATGCTAGGGTCAGGGTGCTGACCCCAAGAGCAGAGTCACACGGGAATCTTTGCAGAGCACATTCCTCAGCACCACTGCTTCCCGCGGAGGCCAGGCTGAGGTCCCCATGCCCTCCCCAGAGGCAGCAGCTCTGGCTGCCCAGCAGGAGAACCCAGACATACTGACCTCTGAGGGGAGGATGGGTTGGCCGCAGGCCGCACACTTGGGGGCATAGTTTCTGAGAGAGAGAGAGGGTGGAGATGAGCTGGGTTGGGGAGTCCTGGCCCAGTCCCCGCCGCACCCAGGGGCCGGACTCACTTGTGGTAGTCGGTGACGCAGTACACCTGGTTGGAGAAGTCCACTGTGAAGGGGATGCCGTCCAGGCACTTGTTGCACACGATGCACCGGAAGCAGCCTGGGTGATAGGACTTCCCCATGGCCTGTAGGATCTGGCTCACGGGATGGGAGGAGAATCAGTCCCCCCCAGCCCTGGTTCTCCAGATAACCCCATGCCCCTTGCTGCTCCCAAACCCCTGCTGTCCTCTGAAACAATGCTATGTAATTGGAGGAGACCAAGGGAGTGGAGGCAGAAATGCTGAGAAAGGTTTGATAGCATTATGACGCTAGCTGCACAAGCAGGATCACATAGTGAGTTTTCTAAGAATACCAAGGCCTGGGGGCTGGCAGGTGGTGTGGTGGTTAAGGTGCTGGACTCCCACAAGGCCGACCATGATTCAAGTACCAGCTGTGGCAACTTGCTTTCTGACTCTTCTTCTCTCTCTGTGTCTTTCTCAGATCAAATTGAATAATAACAATTATAAATAAAATTAAATAATAATTTTTTTAATGAGTTTCTATTTAACTTTATTATTATTCATATTATTTTTTAAAATTAATTAATTTATTTAATTCCATTTGTTGTTACTATTTTTTTTTATTTGACCATATCTGTCAGCCCCTATTCTTATTATTTAATTAGAGAGAGGAGGTGGGGGAAGTGAGAAAGCAAGTCACTAGGCCCGGGACTTGAACCACAGTCAACCATGTGGGAGTCCAGACCTTTAACCACCATGCTACCTGCCAGCTCCAAAATAAATAATTCTTAAAATAAAAGGTGGGAGGGACCAGCAATTGGTATAATGGCTATGTCGCTGGATTCCCATGTAGTCAACCGTGGTTTGAGCTCCAGATCCGGTGGCTTAAACTCACACTGGGCACGTGTGCATGCGTGCCCAAGATCCCGAGAGGAGAATGGAGGAGAAGGGATTGTGGTGTGGCCATCCCCTCTGGGGGACTGTTTCTTGCCTTTTTTTGTGTCTCCTTCCCCACCTCCGGCAGGGTAAACTCTCAAAAATATATTTAAAATTAGGTCATTGTGGAGGACCAGCAGGTGGCATAGTGGTTAAGGTGCTGGACATGCCTACATGGCTGACCACAGTTCGAGTCCTGGACCTGATGGCTTCCTTTCTCACTTTCCCTCTCTCTCTGTGTCTCTCTCTGGTCAAATTAAAAATGATTGAATGAATGAATTAATTAATTAAAATGAAAAAGAAAATACCAAGGCCTGGATTCCTCCAATTTATGATCACTATCTCTGGTGACAGGACCCTAGCACTCTATTTTTTTCTTAGTTCTTCCCAGGGGATCTGCTAGGTTGCCAAAGCTGGAAATGCCTCCTGTTAATAGAAAAGAAAACTGAGTTCTAACAGATCCCTCCCAGTAGCAGAAAAGGGATTAAGACCCAGAACTCCATGCTCCTAGCTCAGGCTGGAAGGCCTGGCTGTGGCTGCAGAATGAGAGGGGCCAGACACAGAAGCCTGAGATGGCAGGATTAGGAGCCAGACTTGATCCTGCCCAGGGAAGCTGCTGTGGACAGCTGCTCTGGGGGAATAGGAGGACAGAGACTCATCCGGTGAGTCTTCCTCCCCCACCTTCTCAGTAACCTGCTTAGCCCGATCCCACCCCCTTACCTTCTCCAAAATCAAGTGACCACAGACACAGCATTTCTCAGCTGCCTCCTGAAACCCTGAAAACTAGGGAAGAAGGAAAGACAAAGGGAAGATGTTACCACGCGAACAATGATGGGTGGGACGCCGATGGGCCACTGAGAAGGTGGTCCCAGAGCCAGGTGGTGGCACACCAATAACACTACTGAACGCATGTGGGAAAGGTCCTGGGTTCACACACCAGGAACTCCCTGGGCAAACTGGGCACACACAGGTGTCTGACCTGGGCCAGCTGAGACAGGGTGGGTCACAGCATAAAGACCCTATGGGAGGGAACCAGCAGTTAGCGTAATGGCTATGTTGCTGGACTCCCACGTAGTCGACCGCGGTTCGTGTCCCGGACCCGGTGGCTTAGAACTCACGCCGGGCACGTGTGCGTGCGTGCCCAAGATCCCGAGAGGAGAATGGAGGAGAAGGGATTGCGGCGTGACCATCCCCCCTGGGGGGTGATTTCTCGCTTTCTGTCTCTATGTCTCTGTCTGGCGAGCGCACGCGCCCTACAGTGAAAATCTCTCCAAAAAAAAAAAAAAAAAGACCCTATGGGAGTGCCTCCTGTCTCTCTTTCATGTAAGAACTAAATAAATAAACATTAAACTAAAAAAAATAAAAAATAAAAAAAGAGGAAGAAAAATGGGGTCCCAATAGAGAAGCCCACTGCAGGTCCAGGGACCCCTTGCTTACCAGATAGTCTTCCTCACAGTACACAGAGCCGTTGACACTGTAGAAAGCCTTGCAGCGCAACGTTCGCCCTGGAAGCAACAGAGAAGGGGCTGGAACCTCAACCCAGGAGCAAGGCTTTGCCCCCCCTGGGGTCCCTACTCCCCACTGTTGCATGATATATTGAAGCCTGGACTTTAGTGCCTTTCCTACTGCTGTCTGTCCTTCCTCCCCACACAAAAAGCCCATCTGATGCAATTCCAATTTGCTTTGGCCTCATTCCCACCAACTTCCCCTCTCCTCTGGTCACTGCCCCTCCAGCTCCTGCCTCCTCAACTGTTTTCCACAACTGTCCCCTGAACGGCGCTTTTCCTCTGCAGTGCCTGGTGCACGGGGAGCCACCTGGGAGAGCCAGGCCAACCACATGCTGGAACACACGGAAAGCAGCTGAGCAAGGTGCTAGACAACTGCAGAGAGAACTGCACTGTCACAGGCCTTGCCCTGAGACCCTGCAACCCAGGAGCCTCTGTCTACACCGCTCTCCTGCACTTATAGCCTGGCTGTCTCCATGCCCCATGCCCTTCATGGAGGTCAGGACACATCGGAGTTACTGCTGGGGCAAAGTGCTTTGTTTGGGAGCAAAGCTGGTCCCTTTCCTGTTGTACCAGGCTGCTTCAACAAGCTTAGGAGGACCTAGGTTCTCTAGGGTTAGAAACAGCTCAGGATCTTTTGTGAGTAGATAAGGCAGGACCACTCCCCATGTGATGAGACCCAGAAATTGCTGGGGGGAGGGTGTCTACATTGTCAGGGATGGAGGAGGGTGGAAACAGGGTGGGGCATGGGCAATTCCCCCACCTTTGCCTTCTTCCCACACAATCTCCACTTTCAGCTCTGTCCAGTAATTTAGAGAAGCTGACTTAGAAACCCATGCAACCCAGGGGAGGTAAGAGGAAAGGAGACGTACCTAGACAAAGCCCTAGAAACAGAAGGACAGACAAACAGATGAGCCTAAAAAGAACTCGGCAGAAGCTGGGGGAGTGAGAGAAAAGCTGAGTGCTGGAGTCAGACAGGCAGAGATAGGAGATTAAAGGTTTAGCAAAGGAATCAGAATGGGTAAGCAGTGGGGAGGGGGTAATGAGGGAGGTGAGGGAGGGGAACGGCAGTAAGGCCGCCAGGCGCACCCCTCCCCCCAGCGGGCCTCCTGAGCA